CTGTAATGTCCCAAAAAATAACGAAATGTTTGGCAGCCGGGCACGATGCCAGAAGACAGAACGTCATCTCTGTTTGGGCACGTCAAAGGTTAATGCTTTCACCTTTTGATAGCCTGTGGGACATTTGACAGAGTAGATGCTTGGGCTGCCGGCATGGCAACGTGGGGTTTTGAGGGGCTTTATCATTGAAGTGGTCGGGCTTTGAGATGTGCTGGGTTGAGTTTTTCGGAGTTGCAAGTTAAGGCATTTAAGGCCGTTCTTGTGTTTTATCGGCACTGTCTTCTTTCATCACGGTACCAGACAGCTGCTGCCGGCCGTCTGGATCATGTCGCCCGCCGCTCCTCCCCATCCTAACGGCCAGATTTGCGTGGTCCAGTCTGTTACAAGCCGAGCACTTGCGGCTTAACGATGATTAGTGAACAATTGCAACTCAAGCTGCTGCTGCTGCTACTACTACTACTACTACTACTACTACTACTACTACTACTTCAGCAACTACTACTCCTGCTGCTGCTGGTAGCACTGTTACTTCTCCTGCGACGACGACTATGTCTTACCACGTCTGGTGGGGAACATCGTCTTCTAGACCTCGCCGTCCAGCGCTCTGCACGCAACACGGAGGGTTCCGCTGAGTTCAGGGCTGAACCCCGATGGAGGGATCATTTTTGGGATGCAAGGCATTTTTTCGGGGACCCGAAACTTCAAGACTTAAGCAGGCTTTCGGGCTCGAGGATCCAGTGTGACAGGGTAGGGAATGCATGCCATATCTGGCATATCTTAAGAGGTTGTGATTTAGGTGAAGGCGGCTACTTACTGATGTGTTCCTAACACTTGCAACACAGACAAAGGAGCCCAGGGCTGAAGGTTCTGACGGTCTCGGGTTATAGATGCAGACCTCCGGGCTTCGGGTCGAAGCGCCCTTATCCTGATCCAGTGTCAAAGTTCGGTGGGCCTCGGGCAAACTAAACCGGCATGGTTCGGCGCATCCTGAACCCGAATGCGACACCTGCGCTCGTTGACAGGCATCATATGTCGGGAAAGCTGCTTGGCCGATCACCTTCTCAGGGATCGTGGAAGACGCCGCCGACTCAAATCCGGAGTAACCGAGATCAAACGGGACAGCGATCCTACACCCGAAACTGTGCGGGTTTTAGCATGTTTTGGATTAAGGGCTTCACACCGCGCACCTGACTTCCGGCGGTGCAGGACTCAGGATTTTCGGGCTTCGGAGCAAGAAGCCAATAGCTTCAGGCTTTCGGGTTGGAAGTTCAGGCAACACAGGGCTTCGAGCTGAAGCATAGTTTTGCAGCTGGACACTTGTCATCCAAGTTGGTCTCGGCCGGACACACGGCAACTAAATGAGAAGGCGGTGTCCTATACCCTGAACACTAAGTCATGGAGCTCGACATCGTACATAAAGTTGTGCAGAGCATCAGTGCGCAGAAAGACAAAAAGACCCGAGTGTCTGAGAAACAGCTGTATAAAGCTCTCTAAACTAAGGCCCCGTCTGTCAGCAAACGTAAATATTTCCAGGAGCCTGAATCCCAGCTCTGGGCCGTCACGGGGTCTAGCACGACAGCATAGAGCTAGAAGAGTCTAATCCCTACATCCTGAAGCACGATTCTACGATCACAAGCGCAGCTTTGATCTACCGATGTTGCAGCTGCTCGTGCTACTGCAGTTCCTCCTCCTTCTCTTCCTCCCCCTCCCTGCTCCTGCTACGATGACGACGACTACTGCCTGCCACTACTGCCAACACGATTTCAGCGGCTTGGTGCTAGCCATCACTATGCCCAGAATCCGCAGCATACTCATCGGGATCGTCCATTTATAAACAACTACAAAATCGGAAAATGATGACAGCTAGAAGGCCAGCATGAATTCTGATTGCGAGCGCTATTGGAGTTGATGCCCCTAGAAACAGATGTCCCTGTAAAAACAAACGAGCAGCAAATTCAACGGCTGGATGCGGCAACAGCTGTACTTGAGTGGCTATGGTGACAACACGAGGTAGTTTCAATACTCTCCCGAATGCGAAGGGAAAAGCCGGCGCAATCGGGGATTCATCCAACCACGACAGAACATGAAGACGAAGAAGACAGACGAAAGCATGCATTTGTGAAGTTGTCCTCCGATACTGGAACTCTAAGCAACTCTTCCCTAGCAAGCCCTGCGCCCAACCACACACCTCTTCTCACAGCTAAGACGAAGCTCTGCGGCTACCACGCTGGGTTCTCTATGGCTTTCACCTCCGTCCTCGCTGGCTTCGGATTGCAGCAAGTTGAAGGGCCCGAACCACTAGGGCAAGGTTTCGGGGAGATGTGGTGTGGTGGTAAAAGCTCGAAAGCGATGATAGCCACGATCAGTGGCGACGCGCTTGTACTGTGAAAACTACTTCGGAGTGCTGAGCGACAAGGAGGACCCAACGAGTGAAGTAAACGAGAGTCGCAGGAAATCGACGAGTACGACGAACTCGGAAAGGTGAGATAGTTGTTTCAGTATTGAATGATCTACAGAGCTCGGGTTTGGTGAGGGTCTAGTCTACAAGCTATGCAGTTTCACGCTGTCTCGCAATGATATAACGACTCAAATGCAGTGGAGCCGACGGTGCTAACTTGCCGAGGAGTTGTCGGTTGGGGTAAAGCTTTGTTCCAAATCCATGGGAACTCTGACACCATGAGCGTACTGCAAGTCTTTCCCTGGAGGGCGAGGGTCAAGCCTGTGACAAAGATGGCTGCAATAACCGTGCTCAGTATTAGCATTGCTTTTTCACAACTGCTTTCAACCCCGCTGCTGGTGCTGGTGGTGAGTCATTGTTGCTGTTGTTGTTGCGATGACTTCGACGATCCGGACGAAAGCAGCTATGATCAGTTGATGGCGGTTGTGGATTTTGTCAGATTAGGCGGTTGCTATCGGAAGATTATCACTGCTTGCGGCTTGGGTCATGGTCAACAGTCTCTGTACGTGGATGACTGCCGTGTTGAGGCTTTTCGACTTTTTCCTTGCTCCGGATAGCGAACATTTGTATTACACGAGAAAATGTTCGGCACCTGTTTTGTATGGTTGCAAAGGCACTTACACCGAACATCCACACCCTCTCAGGGCAGGATGTGTGGACCCCAAAGAACGAGCCTGAGCCCCCAAACTGTGAAGCAGTGAACGCCTTAATTGCTTCAAACCTAAACCCGACAACTCTACAAGATTCCAAGCTCTTGTGTGCATGGACGCCTCTCGGAATAGTCCGGCTCCGGGGAGATGCAGTAGTTCAGGACCCGGTAGCCTCGGAACGAGTTTAGAAACAGGTCTTCTGAATTCTTATAATTGATACTGAAAGGTTTGAGTGTTTGCCGCCCGCTTACCTACATGTCTCCAACCCAATATGACGGGTCGAGTGTAGAGCACAAGGCACAAAGCCTTGGGCTCGGTTGATTTAGGGTTGACGGCGTCAGCGTGAGTTCATTCTTCGGGCTCAGGGCGATAGGAAGCTCCACTACGACCCACGACACCTGATTACACTCTACGTCAAGAATCCAAAACTCATCTGAAAGCCCAAGCCCTAGCTAAGTGCGGAAGGAGATCTGCACATCATGCGGGGGTTGCTTTGGGTTGAAGACGTGTTTGCGAGCTTTACAGCGTCCACTATGCGCAAGAACTCTTCGAAGCTAGCCTACCTCAGCCCAGTAAAGCCCTCGAGCAATAGACTTGGACAACTTCTCATGAGCAGGGCTTGCTGGGAAGGGATATGGAGAACTGGATCCCAAACTCCAAAACGCTGAGGACTGGGCGTTCTACCACACGTTTTCGCATCTCCTTGTTGCGGACGTAGATCGTCGCAGATGCAACCTGCCGTTTTTGTTTCCACAGCGCAAAAGCGGGTTGAAGTCCAAAACCCTTCAAACCTGAAACCCCAGTTAAACCCTAAAATCTGAACAAAGACCATGCGCCCCGGATGCAATTAGCGTCATTCGCCCATCGTTTGGAGAACCTGTTTAGGTTTTAGAACGAAGCCAGAACCGCCTGATGCACTGACAGGCCACGGCCAAGCAAAGCAAAATGCGGATACGATATTTGTCAAGCCATCAACTCCCATAGTCATTTCGGCGCTCAAACTCGGACAATCCAGGCGAGGCATATAGTTCGAGGTCTGTTGAGTGAGACTGCACTATCTGGGAGTGTCATGATAACACCTAAACATTAATTAGGGTTTAGGGGAAGGACTAGCATGCTGCTGGCAATGACTTAGACATCAGGCGACACTTTTGCTGCCGCGCCCCTTGGTTGTTCGCACACTCGGGCGAGGATGGCTGCTTTGCTGTACAATCGGCAGCCGAAACTAAAAGGGCTTTGTCAAGCAACTTTTCTGAAGCGGGGCACGAGACAATGGAACTGCGGTTGCCAATGCAGCCAGCGACTTGAGGACCGGCACAAGGGGGGGGGTTGCCAGCACAGCCTGAAAACTTCTCACTTACGGCCCGGCGTGCGGTGGCAACCGACAATGCCTGAATGCCGCCACGGATGTTCTCCGTGAGCCATAAGAGCAGTCAGTGCTTCATGCTTTCTGCCACTCTTACCTAAGGTTTGAGTTTTCGGGTTAGCCATGGTCGGCAGTCCATACATATGGAACAGTGCTCACACCATAGCTTTCGGCTGTGACGCTCCAAGCGTTGGTTGGAGGGAAAGCATCTTGATAAACCACAAAACTCTACAGAAGCTTTGGAGGTTTAAGGTCAACACCGCTCAAACACGTGGATGAAGGCTCAGATGCCATAAACCGTTTGTGTCAGCCAGTTGGAAGGCTCGCCAACGCAAGCTACTGGCGAAGACGTGCGAATTGTGCATGTGAACAGGGTACCGGCGCAAAGACAAGACTTCGGGTGCTCGTACTGGTATTACTGGTGGCTAGTAGGGAAGAAGGGAATATAGCCCGTATGTAATCCTTACACAGCATAATCCTGTATTGCGTGCACTCAAACAATATGCCGGCATAACTCGTGGCACTGTCAGACTGGCGTGAAGCTTGGAGCCACTTGAAGCTTTCGTGTGGCAAACCAAGCCTGTCTCCAGGATTGCACCATTGTGGAGCCCAAGCCCCATCGGAGCTGAGACACCGCACTGCCGGGCTGGTCTGGGCGGTCTGGGCTGAAGGCTACAGACTGTATCCTGGCATTGAAAACCTTGGTCTCCTTGGTGTCAGGGAGAACCTCCAGGGCCAGCATGGACAAACTAGCCAGAAGCAGCTTGCGGTCGTAGAGCGGCAGATCTTGAATGGCACTCTGCAGGTTGACGTCCTCCATCACGGCGAGGAGAGCCGCAGTGGCTTTCAACCTGTCTGCCACAGCTGCCTTGGGGGGCAGCGATTGCAGGTTCAGAAGTCGCATCTTGAGATCTCCACGCGAAGTCATAACAGCCCGGCCGGTCACCAGGAACAGGATCAATACCGTCGCACTCAGAGTCCACATGACCACCAAGCTAGCAGCAGCAGCAACAGCAACAGCAACAGCGTCATCCTTCAAACCCACATCCAGCGACCTCGCAGCCACGACCATCACGATGCAAACATGCATCACGCAGTCGAAGACATTCAGAAGCGGGACCTTCCAAGGCTGAACCCATACTGCAACCACCAGGAATATGAGCAGCACCAGAGTCCACATCAGTACTTGCACTGCGGGATAGTTCGTTGCCACAGCCATAGGGAGCGACATGAGAGAGCCCCGAAGCAATAGTGGAACCCCGAACCACCAACAATCCAGACGGAAGCGGAATACCAGGAAGCGGAACGACTTCACTGAAAACACTGAAGATTTCTGCTGGCAGTGCCCTCTGCTCCAGCCAGGTGCTGCAAATGTGGCATAGGTGCAAGCTGCTACGAAGCCCAATGCAAACAGAAGCACGAGCAACCCAAGAATCATCATCACAAAGTGCTGGTCGGAAGCACATGTGATGCTCGGATACTTCAACAGGCTGGACGCACCGCTCGGATGACTGAAACACATCAGCGGCATGACTGCAACCGTGCACATGGTGTTGAACCCCAGCAGCAACAGCAACCCGATGGTGCTCCTGGTCTCAGGGCCCTTCCAGCGGTATTCTTGCAATCTCGCAGGCAACAGCTGCGACACAAGGTAGCAGGCCACCAGCCAAAGCGCTGCGAAAGGGACAAGGAGAACCTTCACAGAGTAGCGCCAAGAAGCGGATCTTCCTGCAACACAGTTGAAGCCGAGATCTTCGATGTCCAAAACCAGGATGCTCGCAAGATTTGGAAGCTCCATCATCAAGCCGACCATGCCGACACACTGCAGATTGGAGAAAGTCATGGCGAAGGCACACACTCCGGTGTCTCGTGCTGAAACACTGGCGACACTTCTGGCCTGGAACTCCTGGACATAGTATGCTGCAATCAGCCCAGGACCGAACGCAAGGACTGCCAAGATCCACAGGCTTTGCTGAAAGCGAGTGCAAAGCTTGCAGCTCTCACCATCCCAAGTTTGGCTCTCGGGGCAGTCTGTGCAAGCAACGCCTTGCAAACCGGTGCTGCAGCTGCCGGGCTTGCCACCAGGGCATCGCGTGGAGCCCACGCACCGGTAAACATCAAGAGGCTTGTCCAAGGCGCTGTAGTAATTAGGCAGAACTTCCGGCACGAACGATTCTCCCAGTTCTGCTGTGCCGGTCACCAGCGCGTCCACTGCGCCTATCACGGGGCATCTAAGCCCCTCTCCACACTCAGTGCACTTTAGAGAACCAGGGCTCGATGCTGTGTTGATGAAGCCTGCTTCACAGCCACAGTCGGCCACCGAAACCGACCCAAACCCGAGCGTCGTGCCACTGGGGCACGGCTTGCACTGCACAGAGCCAAGTTGATCTTGGTAGTAGCTGATGTTGCAGCGTACACAGGACTTGCTGCCTGATTTGTCCTGAAACTCACCCGGCTGGCATAAGTCGCAGCGCAGAGCAGCTCCTGAAGCCTGTCTCGTTCCAGGCTTGCAAGGCTTGCAAACATGCGTGATACCCTGACTGTCATCCAGGCGCACTGAGTACAGTCCCGATACGCATGCGCGGCATTCCAGAAAGGTATGGTCTGATCTGTCACTCGTGAACTCTGACATCCTTGTGTCGAACAAGCCAAAACCAGGGGCGCATTTCGTCTTATCCGGAAGCCACAACTCCCACGCATGAACGTTGGCATGTATCCAGCGACATGCGACGTCAAGGTGCGAGTCCCCGGTAGCCAGCTTGTCCTGCATCATGCCCATCACGTCACTCAGGCCAAACCTCATGCTGCCAACGAAGTCTTTTACCTTCGGTGCTACAGCCGATAAGTCTTGGCTGACGATCTTGGATATGAAGGTTGCATCCGCTGTGCTTCGCTTGTCTCCTCGAAGGTATGCATTGGGGTCATAGGGTGGGAACTTGACATGCACGGGGTCATACGCCAGGAATGTTGTGTCTGGAGTCCACCAGTAGAAAAGACTGTTGACCTGCAGTGCCATCTCTGCCCACGACTTTGCAACCCCAAGTGAGATGGGCATTCCATAAGCTGTGACCTTCTGCATCATGTCGTCGAGGCCCCAGCCCGGATCCTGGGTAAAGTAAGGGACGCATCTGGACGAGACAGCTCGGCACGATGGAGGAGGCCAATAGTAGCCATCTGGACAAACGGCGAAAAGTTCGCCGTTAGGCTGCACGGCAACCCCGGCTGTGTCACCTGTGACTTGCAAGTAGTCCCGGTTGGCTTGTGTGATGGTGAAGCGAGATGCATTGCAAGGTACCATCTGGCTCCGGTTGACCGAAGCAATACTGTCGAAGTACTTCCATGGCTGAGTCCAGGATGTGTTCCAGCCACGAAAATAATCTAAGATGGCACCTTGCTCGGAGAATGCTTGCATCAATGCTTCTCTACGCAGAAATGTCGAGGAGAGGCCTTCGTAACCCATGCTGCCGACACTCACCGGAGCTAGGGAAGGATACTGAAACTCTAGGAGCTTCCACTCCTTCGCATAGCCCTCAGCCCAGCACTCCAGATTAACATGATTGCGCGTTGTCGCGGGTCCACACCCCTGGTCCTGCAAGGAATGCGGCCTTTCGCAGCCAGCCAAAGCAAAAAATGCACTTAGTGCATTTTGACCGGGCCCCGTCTCGACGACATTGTAGCCCAGCTGCTCCTCTATGAGGATGTGTGCTACACCAGTCGTCAAGAGGCTTGCAGACCAGTCTCCCAGCCAGAGACCGATCGGGTAGCTGGCATTTCCGCTTGTCAAATTACGCCTCTGGTCAGGTCGAACTGCTATCTCCAAGCAAGACGCTTTGGCACCTGCAACAAGAGCTGCAAGAGCTAGAACTGCATGACGTGCATGGCGGCAGCAGTGCAGCATCCGACACAACTACGCCTGAGTTTGACTTATGCATGTCGACCCGGCCATGCTGTGCAAACGTCTCGATGGTCGCGACAGCTGAAATGCATGCATGGTCGTGGTTCAGCAAAGTTCGACAGCATCGCACTTCGAGCATGTCTGATGCCTGAGTTCGAGCCCGGATGCTTGAGCCTGGGTTTCGGCGCTGACACTCGGACAAAAGGGTTTTTGGATCACCACGCTCATCCCGAAGATTGCAGAGGCCCTACACAGCGAAGGCATGAGAATCTGCCAGACTCCTGTCTCGCCTGTCGGCTGCAGGACTTTCAACCAAGCCATACAGGCCTAAAGCCTTTATCTGCTGATCCACATAGGCATGCCGGATACCGATTAAGGCAAGTTTAGCCCGTCGTCAGCCCCAATACCGGCAGCTGATCCTCCAAGACCGAAGCCCCCGAACCTCCCAACACAGGCGACCCTTCAGACGACACTCGAATCGGCTGGTTAATTTTGCTTTTTCCGATCCGTATGTATACGGCGACTACTACAACTTCATGACCACGTCCAGAGCAACGACTTCTGCGACCATGGCAATCAAGGAAGGCTGCCAACGTGCTACGACGAGGGTTGCCATTGCGAGAAAGATTGCCAGCAATACTGCTGCTGCCAGTGCGACAACGACACTATTAACATCATTTCTCCGCGTGCTTCTTCTCACGCCCTCCTGAAGTGGATGTATTTTGACACTTTGCCGCACCTGCTGGCCGGCTTGCGCCACCTCGTACAAACCTGGTGGCATCTTGGGGACTATGACTATGCATCGGGATTGGGGGGAGCCGGGGTTTAAGGCACAGCCTGTACGGTTCAGCAGCCATGGGCCTAAGCGGTGTCGGCATTAGGACTGGATCGGGATCGGTGGGCTTCGGCCTCGGGGGCCTCAGGCAAGGAGTACTCGCGCAAGCACCAAGAGCTAGAGTCTAGGGCGAGGGCCGAGGGCCTTCATCTCTACTCGTGTTTAGAAGTTCAGTGCCTCTTCAAAGCTGCCCTGCCCCAGAACCCCCAAAACCTGACTACCGGAAACCCTGCAGCCTGACCCAAACCCCTCGAGCCTAAAATGGCAACCCGGCGCCTCGGATGAGTTGATACAGAAGGTACAGCGCGCCAATCACCGCTACCTTGCGGTGCTGTGGCATGGACTCGCTTTGACATCTTCGGGCAGCGATCTGTTGGTGGCTTCGGGGTCCGCTCTTGTGTCATGTTCGGTTTGGGGACAGATTCCCCCAACTTAACAAATCCGAGAACCACACAGCCTGAAATCCTAGACATCAAAGACAGACCCCATGCATTACGAGGCTCACGGGGAATTCTTTATGCGAGTCTGCTCATATCCTTGAAGTCCTACGCCAGAGAAGTCTTGGGCAGTGGCCAGTCTAAGACAGGAAAGTCAAAAAGCTCAACTGCGATTACGACAAATGTTTTATCTTTCAAAGTGCTTGGCCCGTCTGCTTCGCTCTTTGCACAAGTCTTGTCTTTTTCCGAGGTTCATGAACTGCCCGGTGTTCGAAACCGGTATCTTGAGGAGTCTGCTTCGACGGCTTTGGAGTTCTTGCGATAGGATGTAATGGACTAGGTTGGTGTCCGTGCGAGGCGAGGTTGATGGGCCCGAACGGCATTTCCGCGGGTCCAGCTGCGGCATGCTACATGATTTCAGCGCGTATCGACAGTCCCGCGCCATGATGCATGCGGCGAATCAACTTGAAAACATTGCTCCCGATGCAGCAGTTCGACAGTTCGGGCTGGTGGAAATCGCTATTTCGCCTCGATGGTTTCCATGTAGTCGTGTCCTACCCGCCGTTACAATCCGATACATGGAGTTATGAAGTTCTTGTGATAAAACCTTCTCCGCAGGTGACCTTCCAGTGGCCTCCCACTTGTTGGAGTGTACGCTGCCAGCATGCTTATCCGAAGAGCCCCTTACAGGAATGATGTTGATCGTGAGCTCCTGGCAGGCTTCCTTGTTTTGTCTGGCTCACCGTGTGGTTTAATGCAACAGCGAATCTTGAGCCCTTGCCCCTAAGCCCTAGACCTCGCAGCAAGATCCGGCAAGCAAAGACTAAGGGCCACGCAATCACCAGCAAGATCATCGCGGCATCCTGCGAGCCACCCGAACCGTAAACACCTAAACTGAACTCCACAAACTCACACCCTAAACTTAAAACCTTAAGCCTCTAAACTTGATCTCCGAAGCTTTAAATTTGCGACCTTTAAGATTCGAGCTTCCAGTCTTGGCCTGCTTGAGCTCTCTTATGGGACATCGTAGTACGGCTCTGTTGAGGTCAAGGCTTGGGATTTGGGATTTGGTTCGAGGGTTTCGGGATAGAGGCCAGGGTTTTGTGATAGTCTTCGTGGGTTGTCCAGAACCTGAGCAAGTCCAAGTGGGTTCGGGAGACTTTGTCATGTTGATCCGGGCCTTGCTTGCTTTGACTGAATACCAACAAAAAACCACCTGTTCCAACAATCGCTCAATTATCTATCTCTCAGGTGTTCGGCCTGCGAAAACGCGAAGCCTGAGTCACGTTCAAGAATCCAACAATCGCAGACAGGAGGTACGGACTGTTGCAGCGCAGCTCACCAATATCGAGCTTTGAAAGCCTAGGAAGCCGCTTTTGAATAGGTACAGCTTCCATTGCGGCACTACTGCTTATGACCAGGCAGGAGTTACAAGGAAGGTAACCGGACTCAACTCGCCTGAACCCAAAATCTTCGAGTCCACAATCCGTTCCTTCGTATCCTTTGAAGGTTCTGGAAGTCATGACAAGCGTGACAGAGTCGCATTTTGAGGTTGGGCCTTGCACAAAGGACACTGGAGGGGGGGACGCTCGCTGTCTTGCTGATTTTCAATGTTCTTCTGATCAGCTTAGGATCGGCGGTGGTAATCCCAACGCGCTTGGATCCACGATTCTAGGCTTGCACGTCGACCTTGCCTTCTTTCTATCTGATGTAAGCATACAGCACTCGGATATGTTACCGCCCGGCCACGGTTTCGAGTCACTTGCCAAGGCCCCTAGGCCTCATGAACCTCGCCAACCGCCAGTAAAACCTTGTAACCCGCATGCAGCTGAACTGCCTCAACCCTAACCTAAACCCTGACCTTCAAAACCGCACGCCTCTAAGCCCTAAACCACTTGGACCTGACCCATACACAATCCCTGAAGGTCCCTTTCAGCCAAAGCCCAAGGGGTCCTTGCCATCGAAGCTCCAGCCATGCGGGTGAAATCCACAGAGATTCAGCGACCACAGGGCCTTGGACACGGGGACTGGGTTTGGGGCAGAGAGATTTGGGCCTTGGCCTCCAGGGTGTAGAGTTGGGGTTTTCATTCTGGGTCTCGGGTTTGACTCTCGGAGCGTGGACGATGACACAGAGGGTTCCTGAGCCATGTTGGAAGAGGTCTAGATACCCGCTCACGGTTTCAACTTATGCATTTGTAGGAGTCCAGGAGCTTGAATTTTCGGCAACTCAGGGCTTTAGAAACTTTAGAAGCGTTGGGATTGGTTGGGTATCCCAGCCGCTATTTGAGTGTTGCGTGGTCACCATGGCATGATAGTAGCAGTAGCAGTTGCGACGGCCGCCCATGCGGGGTCTACGAGGAGACAACGTTCACATGCCGATAACCAAGATCCAGCCGGTCTACCCAAAGATTCCTGCTCCCTGCCAGCAAGAATCAGCCGATCAAGGGAGCCAACTTCGGCAGCCATGACTTGTTTTGTTACTGCTGCTAGTTTGCCGTCCTGTCGCCGCTACTCTCTTTATTTGGGGGTTCGCTCGTTGTTCTGACCGCGACTGCTTTTGGTTGGTTCACGCCCAGATCAAACCCAAGGTAGATTTGATCCCTTTTTGATAGATCTTCGGTTTCCATTGGCTGGTTGGTTGCTGTGCAGGAGTCGATGCTGCCTAAAGCTGGTCTGCATTGGCAGGACCTCGTCTTGGGTCTTCAGTTGCGAGCCGGCCAGGCTGCACATCAGGACCCGGTTTATCCCGACTTATCAGGAGCAAAACCAATGATGTGGGCGTTGTGCACATGTGCCATGCACACACAAAGCATTCACTTGAGCTCCTGCCTTTGTCATGATGGTATCACGATCAGTATCATAACTCATCTGGGATGGGCTTTGGCAGCCCTGAAAATTATTTATGGATCCGGGCTGTTTTTGTGCATCCATGTGAATGCAACACCAAGCAGCAATCACGCACTCTTTTTCTCCCGCGATCATGTGGAATGTGAACAGTGGTAACAAGAAAAATGCGACACTGACACTGGCAGCTCAGACGATGGTGGCCTGCAGGAGCAGGCAGAAACCAAAATCTGGCGTGACACTCTGACAATGGAAGCATTTGACACTCATTCTGTGTGGCCAGTACAATAACACACCCAATGCGCACCCCTCCATGCCTGCTCAAAGTTGACACTGATTTCCAGCTGGTAGGCCTGACATAATAGAAACACGTGACACTCATTCTGTGTGGCCAGTACAATAACGCACCCAAGACGCACCCCTCCATGCCTGCTCCAAGTTGACACTGA